CAGAACAAGTCATATATAGTTCTGTTGTTAATTTGAAGTTATTAAAAATAACAGTGATTACTGATTGGTTTTGGGGGACAGGGTTTCTCTGTGTAGCCCTGAAACTTACTCTGTAGACTAGGCTGGCCTCAAACTCACAGAGATCCACCTGCCTCTGCCTCCTGAGTGTGTGACAAAAGGCGTGTGCCACAACCACCAGGCTCTTTCCTAATCTTAATCCACTGTTTTTGGGTGGCTCCTCCCCTTTTGTAAAAAATATCCATCCTCAGTCTTCCCATTTCATTGAATGTCATCTAATAGTCAGTCACACAGTGAGAAGCCCAATAGCCTGCTTCCATAACCCATGATATCAATTTGGCAAATCCTGCTGACCTATCTGGATTCTGTGCAATCCAAATTTTAGCTCCTACAATATGTCTCTACTGGTCTCTTTGTCTTGCTCCATGCATACTTCCCATAATAACTCAAATGCTTTTACATTTCTAAATGTTTCCCATTGCATAAAAAAACCCCAGAAAACAAAACTTCATTACTTCAAATAATAAACCACACATAATCTGTCCTGTCCTGCTCAACTCAGAAGCACTTACCCCCAAAGCTGCATATCCAGCCTTTTCTTTAATCAAATGTGAAACCAACTTTTGTTTGGACAATTTTCTCCCTATCTGAAATGAACTCATTTGCCTCTCCCCATAGAACTGTGCTCTCTGGGCCAAAGGATAATTTGTCCTATTGGCATTCTTGAGCCTCAGGACAGTCCCCGGCACACAGTAGCACTCAGTGAATGCCTATGAGAACACCAGTGCAAGGTGCAGAGAAAGCATGTTCCCTTCTGCACTGCAGAACTTGGGCTTCCTTTTCTAACTGCTTGTGAGATGAAGGCCACATAGTTGAGAAAGGGAATGGCAACGTTTAAGGGTCAACCCTTTGCTAGCCAATCATGCACAGCAGATACTCTACACTTGCCTACAAAATAACTCTTCAGAACCCCAGTCACGACACAAAACTTTAAATAGGCTTCCAGAAAAACTTATAAACTTCCATTCATTACTTTAAAAGATAAAGAGTTGGGAGCCCAGAACTATTAAGTACAAAAACAGCTCCAAATATCAGGCGTACATATTGTCTTAGTTAGGGTTTCTATGGCTGTGATCTACACCATGACTCAAGGCAATTAGAAATGGAAAGGGTTTATTTTACTTTAGACTTCGAGGTAACAGTTCAATACTGAGAGAAGTCAGAGTAGGAACTCAAGCCAGGCAGGAACTTGGAGGCAGGAGCTCATGCAGAGGCCATGGAGAAGTGCATGGATTACTCGGCCTGCTTTCTCTTTTCCTTCCTTTTTTTTCTTTCTCTCTTTCTCCCCCATCTTTTACTCTTTTCATCTATCTATCTATCTATCTATCTATCTATCTATCTATCTATCTATCTTTTTTTTTTTTTTTCTGAGACAAGCCTGACTGTCCTGGAACTTACTATGTAGACCAGGCTGGCCTCGGCCAGAGAAATTCACCAAGTGGTGGGACTAAAGGCATGGGCCACCACCGCCTGGTAAGCATGCTTATTTATTTTTTTTAATGACCTACTTTTATTTTCTGTGCATTTGTGTGTTGTCTGCATGTACGTCTCTATGAGGGTGTACAATCCCCTGGAATTGGAGTTACAGACAGCTGTGAGCTGCCATGTGGGTGCTGGGATTGAACCTGGGTACCAGGGGTGGGGGTGGGGGGAAGAGCAGCCAGTGCTTTTAACCACTGAGCCATCTCTCCAGCCTGAACCTGCTTTCTTACAGCACCCAGGACCACCAAGCTTGGGGATGGCATCACCAATCAAGACAACACTCCACAGATTTGCCTACATGGTTAGGGTTATGGAGACATTTTCTCAGTTCAGAGTCTCTCTTACCAAATGAGTCTAGCTTGTATTAAGTTGACAAACAGAAAACTAGGCTATATATGTATGTGCACTCTCGCTAGGCTGATGGTCAACACCACCCATCACGGTGTGAAAATAAGTTGCTAACCTACAAGTTCCATCTTGGGACACTCAGAAAATGATACTGATTTTGGGTATTAGCTGTTATTTTGATCATACAACTATTAGTCTGAATAACAAATTCCTTTTGACTATCATGGCTCCTAAGATGACCATATACACAACCACACTAGGGACTTGGGAGAGTACATGTTCCTCTACTTCTTTCCTTGTATTCTCTGCTTGGGAATACCCTCACACAGGAGTAGCTCCTAAGAGACTTTTGTTTGCAACATGAGTGGAACCAGGATAGATAATTCAACAACTGGCTGTGGAGGCCAATGTCTCCAATAACATGTCAGGGCTAGAAGTAATCCTAAAAAAGAAAATTCTTATCTTCAAACCAAGGGACTAAACATCTTAGCACTACTTTCTGAGAAACATTCTCCAAACATGAGTTATTTTCAGAAGTGCACGTTGGAATACTTAGTCAAACTTATCTCTTGTGCAGCCTAAGGTCACTGTGTTACTGTGACAAAGAGTGCAACAGAGGCTTGGTAGGAAGCAGATTATACCACTTGTATTTCAGAGGAGCTAAAAAACCTCTGGCACCTAAGCATGCCACACATCTTGAGTGTCCTGCACATGGGTTGATTCTCAAGTGTTGACTTGTGGGTCTTCTAATTCCATCCTCTGCTGTGTTCCTAGTCACCTACTTCCTCCCACTCAGTGATATCAGCATAAATGTAAAACTCTTGATTTTCCACTCAACACTCTGTCTTGGTTTGAGAAATAAACATGCTAAAACTCTTGATGCTTTCATGAGTTGATCAAACTTAAAAAAAAAAAAAATCTCAACAAGCCCCATTGCAAGCCAGCCAGAGAGAGGGTCACAGCAAGAAACAAAACATAGCTTTAGACTGTGCATGGTGGTGCCTGCCCATTACTCTAGAGGCTAGACATTTGTGTAAACAAGATGGAAAGTTTTCTTTTATTCTTAAGGACCTTCTTGTTGTCTTTTAGGTTTCAGGGCTCTTCTTAATGTATCTATCTGTGTCTTGGTGTAAGTGACTTTTACGAGTAGGCACACAGTGTTCCCAGCTTAGAACCACTGTGCAGTGTCTAGGTTATGATATTAAGCACTACAGGTTTAACTGGACTATTGTATCTATTGTTGATGCTAAATATTTCCTGAACAGTGAGAACTTGGTGACTTGTTTCCAAATCTTAAAATCTGTTTTTAGGTAATGTCTTAGAAAAATTTAACCATGGTTCTCTATAAATTACTTTTTTTAGTATTGTATGAAAACATGGAATAACTGAGAATCTTTAAAAGATAGTTGACAACTCTAGGCCTCTGTGACAGGTAAAGAACTGTCTCTGAGTAGCATGCACACTGAAGGAGCAGATTTCTGGAAATACAAGTCACTTCCTAGACCACATTAGTTTTCTGTCCCATGTCCATTGCTTAAACCTGACTAGGGTGTGTGGCAGATGCTTTGAAAATAAAAGCTATTACAATGGGAAGGGGATTTGTAGCTCTTTCATGAAGAAGGCTGTCCTCACTCAGTGACCTAGGTTCCTCTGATTCTGAAATAAAGGCACCTGAGATTTTCTGGACTTGCTTTTTTTACTTTTATTTATTTTGGTTTCAGGTAGTTCCACTCTGTAACCCAGGCTAGCCTCAAATTTGCCTTGTAACTTATGTTCTGAGGCTTGACATCTGATAGCTAATTTAAAATCTTATTTTTGTCCTGTATCTTAGCTCAGTGTTCCTTTCAAAATGTTGGGGAACCAGGACTGGTGCTGCAGCGGGAAGGCCAGGCCAATTCGAGATCTTAGTTGGGGTGGGGGTGGGGGACAGACAAGAATGTTAGACATTTTACAGCCAAAAGTCCCATGGAAAGAACAAAGCCAAACTTTGTTTTATACTGTAAACTCTCATTTTAAAGACCTACATAATTGAAACCCAAGTTTAACCTTAAAGAATTAATTTTAAAAGGCTTTAGTAAAGATTAGCATGGTTCTGTTTCTCTACTCACCAGTGTGCGCTCACCAGTGTTTACTGGGGAACTGTAGTCAAGACAGGGTATCTCTGTAGCTTTAGAGCCTGTCCTGGAACTAGCTCTTATAGATCACCGCTGGCCCTGAACTCACAGAGATCCACCTGCCTCTGCTTCCCAAGTGCTGGGATTAAAGGCGTCGACCCACCACCACTCAGCAAATTATTAAGAGAACTACCACTTTGGTTTTTTAAATACCAAAACTGGTGTTTTTAGCCAGGGACAGACATGTTTTATAAAGTAACCAACAGCATACTACATCACCAGCAGCCCAAGGAAAGGGGCTTTACTTCAACTACCACACTGTGAAACCAGACTCCCAGCTCAATCAGAGGGATTTATGTGCTTAGAAAAGCTATTCTCCTATGAAAAAGTTATGTTAAATTAAGATGTGAGAATAAACAATTTTGTGCTAATTTAAGAGCAAGAGAAAAAAGAGAAATCAGCTCTTGTAGTGGAAACCTCAGACCACTGTAGATACTCTAGGCTGCTATAGACATCTCAGATTGCTATAGATAACCCAGACTGCTACAGATACCTTGTGTAGATGCCTCTGACTGGTGTGGAGTATTCAACCACATTTAGGAATTAAACAGAAATGAGATCAAAGTAAAACAGTGAGATTCCAACTCTATGAAATATGATGCATGGAAAACTATTTCAGAAAAGAAAATATTGATTTGAGTTAGACTACTACCCATGTTGTGGGTATAATACAGGAAGTAGAGTCCCAGACACAGATGCACCTGCATGGAGGTATGTTTATAATACAGCTCTGGGTGTCATTACACAGTTAGCCCAGCTTCCCACAGGATAACAAGCATACTGACTTCTAGAAACTAAGGCACACTGTTGTGAGCAGCGAAGACTATAGAAAATGGGGCAGTTCAGGAGCTGGACAGCATATATCACTGAGATCCTTAGAGTTCTGGTTGTCACATGCACACACCTGATACAGGCACGGAAACTTGTCATTTTTATTTGGGTAACAAAGGGTCTCCAAATTGTACTGGAAAAATAAATCCTAATTAGTATCACTTCTGTAAAAATGTGAGCATTCTTTTCACAAATGATTATGTGGAAGAGAAGAAAATACACATACTTTCAGAATATCTTAAACTCTTTATTCCCTACCATTGACATTTTGTCTTTTGTCTTCTGTCACGGTTTTCTACAATTTCCAACTTATATCTGTATTTAATACTGCTTTATTCTGCTAGACATTAACTGACTGCTTTCCTAAATCTAAGGATTATATAGTTTTAGTATAAATATATATCACATATTTTCGTAAAATTTTGACAAAACCAAATAAGCATGCCTTGTTTTAAGTCCATGCTCTTTCTACTGTTTATAAAATCTGATTTAATGATCAAAATTCTTGGTTGCCACTCCAGTCACACAGCCTTCCTTCTGCACTGCCACTCACTGTTTACATAATGAGCAAGAGAAAAACCAAGGACATTATGTTAATCTTAGTTCCTTCTTTTGACACTATATGATAATGTGAACTTAAAAAAAATAAGGAATACATCCCAAACTGAATACATTCAAATGAGCTGAATTCTGTCACCATGGAAGGCCACAGTTCACTCTTAACTACACTGCCACTGCACAAAATACTTGAAAATTATTTTGGGATTGCTTTCAAAGCCAGCTGCATACTTTCTGTATTATCTAAATTTAGTTATTTTTTTGAAAGTGGTATTTTTGAAGACAGACAAGTTTGTTAATACTCTTTTCAAACAAGGTACAAACACAAAGTTAGTAGCGCATTACTTAAATTAACTTTGACTGCAATTCAGAAAGAGCAAATCCAAGAGGCTTTGGGCAATAGTTGGTGGCTGACATTAGAAAATAACCTTCTAGCATGGTCACTATGCAGGTAACATTCACTTCGCTGTCTATGTTCTGGCATATTTGTTTAAAGTGACATTCTTGAGAGTTAATACATACTCTTTTTAAAAGAAATACCATTCTTAAAAAAAAAAAAAATCTTAATTCTTTAAAGTATCACTGTCAAAATAAGTGCTATGCAAGGGCTCTGTTAGAAAGTAATTCTTACTTTATCAATAAACACTTTTTAAAAACCTGGAAGCACATAACTAACTTGCTTTCAGGCTTTTAAATCTTAATTGAAGATAAAATAATCTGAAAGTTCTAAGGTACTAAAAACAAAAGAGCAACCCCAAATGTAATAAAAACACATCAAGAACCAAACTACAATTTCTGAGCTGCACTGTTTATTATGCTGCTTGAGCCCTAGGTGACAGTGTGCCACTGCGAGTATGGGTCATCTAACCTTTACTAGCTGCAAGTACAGAAATAGACGGACACATTTTTGGAGAATTGACATTTTGCAAAATGCAGCAAACGTTTTCATTTACACACGAGAAAAGGAAGTGTTCAAAAGGGTATGAATTTCAAGTTATTGCAGGTTATTTGTGAGAGAATTTCTGCAGGAACAACATGTTTAAATTTAACCAACGGTAGTGTGTCAGTGTGTTTAAAATCATGACAAAATTCTTCATTCTGGTCATGTTGCCCATGATAGATTATTACGGTGTTGTATGTTTAGGGCAAGATGTCAACACAGCATAAATCCCATGGTGTTTTGGTTTTCTTCTGGAGATTAAAGCTGTTTTTCTTGGGATAAATGCAGCAGCAAAACACAAACCAGTTGATCAAAAAAAGCACTTCTGCCATAACTCCAATCACTCTCATGACACACCAACCCACAGGAGTTTTGCCTTTCCAGTCCTTAAGGATCACATCTCTGCACTGATGCCTTAAGCACGCCTGCAAAGCTTGTTCTCCATTAAGCCAGTTTACTGACCACAGCTTGGTTCAGAGAATTTAGTTGGTTGGTCCATTTATCTAGTGCAGTGTATCGGGCACCACCCCTCTTCTGATGATCCAGTTCAAGGAGTTGGTTGACTTGATCAATTCGGCCATGAATAGTGCTGGAACCAAATAAGAAAACAAGGTTTCTAGCCATCTCCGCTAAGCACATTTCACAGAACACCACACCACCAACCAATACACACAACATGCCACCCATTTGCCTACTTGTAATGAGTGACTCCAGTATTAGTTTTAAACTATATTGCCTTATTCAATTCTTAAAAAGACACCAGATGTCAGCTTTATCATTTTTCACCAGACTGTTATTTACATCATGAAAAGTTCTGACACTGGCCATGCTTTCAAAGCACACTGCTTTTAATACCATTAAAACTGTTGTGTAACACACAGTGCTTACACCCTCTAGGCTGGACACAGTGGCACTCATCTTTAAACCCAACACTTGGGAGGCAGAGGCAGACAGCCTGGTCTACAATAGTAAATTCCAGGCCAGCCAGAGCTACACAGTGAGACCCCAAATAAATAAATAAACAAATAAATAAATAACAGAAAGAAAAACTATCCAGAAAAATAAATAAATAAAAAAAATGTGTCTGGGCGGTGGTGGTGCACCCCTTTAATTCCAGTGCTCAGGAGGCAGACCTCAATGAATTCCAGGCCAGCCTGGTCTACAGAGCAAGTTCCAGGCCACCCAGGACTGTTAGACAAATAAACTCTGTCTTGGGGGAAAACAAAAAGTGATGTATATGCCACATCATTCGTGTGAAGGTAAGAGTACAACTTTTGGGAGCTGCTTCTTTCTTTCACCATGGGGTCTTAGGATCTATCTCAGGGTGTTAGAGTTACGCTCTGAGTGCTTTATCTTGCTGAGCCATGTCACTGGCCCAGTAAATAATTTCTTAGCAGTATGTAAGTCATATATCAAATGAGAAATCTGTCTGAAAAATGACTTAGAACCTTTCCAAGGATCATGTGTTTACTATGGTCATTCATTTACAAATGAAAAAAATCACACATATATCCTCTATTAGAAAAATCATAGCCACAAGTGTTTTTTGTTTGTTTGTCGTTTTTTTAAAATGATAAATCAACAATTGAGTTGCTATCCTTGCCATCATGGTCCAAAATCTGCAGTTACTGGGCCGTTTGAAAGAGAGTGGTCCCCAAAAGCTCATACATTGAATATTTGGTCCCCAGTTGGTGGAACTGTTTGGGAAGGATTAGAGAGTGTGTCACAGGGTAGGCTTTAGGTTTCAAAAGACTAGAGACATTTCCAGAGTCTCTTTCTGCTTCCTACTTGCCAATAAAAGTGTGATTTCTCAGCTTTGCCTTTGCTCTACCATCATGGCCTCTTTATTCTCCGAAACCATAGTCCAATTAAAATGCTTTCCTTTCTAAGTTAGTCTTACTCTTGGTGTTTTATCATGCAAACAGAAAAGTAACTAAGAGAGCTCCCAACATATTACAATTTTAAAAATTTGCCAAGGGGCCTGGAAAGTGGGGTCAGTGGTTAAAAGTACTTGGTGCTCTTCCAGAGGACCTGAGTTTAATTCCTAACACAGATGCTCAGTGGCTTGAGTTTTCTGGACTGGCAGGTCCCACAGCCCTTGAGCCCCATATGAACATACAGACGCTATATTAATTATGAAACTTTTGGCCAATGACTAGGGTTTTTTATTGGCCAGCTCTATCTTAATTATTAATTATTAACCGGAGGAAGAGCATGGTGTTACTCCTCCGGCAGCATGGTGACTCTGTCTGGCCACACTTCCCAGAATTCTCATCTCCTAGACCCATCTATCTTAGTACCCTATTGACCACCAGCCTCAGTGTTTTATTCATCAACCAATACGAGAACATATACGAAGTAGTGATGGGGAAGTACTTCTGTTTATGTTTATCTTATTGATTGTTGATCAGCAGCGCAATGTGATCCACCAGCAAGGAGGGACGCCAATAAGGCGTCCAATAAGATAAGTTTTATAAAATATATAGATTTATGATAAAACAGTAGGACTTCCCCCATCACAACCATCTGAAATTCTAGCTCTAGAGGCTCTAATGCCCTCTTATAGTCTCCAAAGGCACCTGTACTCATACGCACATACCAGACATACACTATAAAAATAAAAAGCAGCAAAGTACTTACTTATCCAGTATGCACTGCACCAGCAAGCTTTCCACATCAGCTACATCTATGTTTAGCTCCTAAGACAAAAGATCTCATTATATAATGTAATTAGACTAGTTAACACTTAAAAAGACTTCATGATGCTATAGAATCATTTGGCTTTAATGTATACCACTGAAAGGAAACACTAATTTTTTTCCTTCTTTACCATGATGAAGATTTAATCCAGCCCCCCCCATCCCCCAGGGCAAGTGCCCTCTTACTGAATTGCAATAAGAAAAGAATTTTTTTTGGGGGGGGGATGATCCTGGGCACTGAACCCCTGTCTTGTGTATGAACTATACCTCTTTTCACATTTAAGATATATTTTCAGTAAGATAGCCAGGCTGGCTTAAACTTACCATGTAGCCAAGTTGGGCCTCGAATTTATAATCCTCCTACCTTAACTTCCTAAAAAACTGGGATTAGATTTACAATTCCAGACTTGGCTTGAGGTCTTTAAAAAGTGATTATCACATCAGAATATCTTGTAGAATCCGAGCATGATAAAGGATAATTCTGCCACCTTTTTCCCCTTTGGTGCTGGAGACTAAAGTACCATGAACCTGTTCACGGCAGGCAAGTGCTCTGTACTGAGCTATGCTCTCAAGGGCTCTTCTAACTTGTGGGGCTCCCGGCTTCCTCTATGCTTGCAGTGGTTAGGACTGACCTTTATTAACACTTCACTCTTTTCTGCCTAAGAATAAGGGAATCTTAGAAATGGAGTGATTTGTAATTTCTCTCATACATTAAACTTAAAACAATTTCCACTAAATAAGATTGAAAAATTCACATTAAATTTAAAGCTTTGGCTAGGCATGGTGGCTTAAACCTGTAACTTGGCACTTGGAAGGCAGGCAAGAGGATTAGGAGTTCAAGATCACCCTCAGTTATACATTGTTACATGAGTACACACACACACACACACACACACACACACACACACAATAGTTAGATTGGGCAACATGAAACCCATGTTTCAAAAATCTTTCTAAAGTGAAGCCCTAAAGTTATAGTCTACTGAAAAAAATGTTACAAGTTCAAGTTAGTCACTTTTAAAAATGAAAGATAGATCTACTGTAACTGTAGACACAAATCATAAACACTAAAGTCCATAAATACCTTAGAAATAAAAGGAATATGTATTCTTGTATAAGGCTTAATTAACTTTATGAGCACTTGTGTTCTGATGTTTCTTAAAAGCTCTGAAAGACAAAGAGAAAAATAACATTGTGAGTGTCTTTATAACCCATATAAGTACAAGCCATGTTAGTTGACTATACAATCTACCTTCTCAAACCATTGTGCTTTGTGAAGACACAGGTGTTTATGTTTTTAAAACCCAGGTGTGGCAAAAGCAGTCTGATTAGAGGCTCTCTCTCCCAGTTTCTGGTTCTCTGATTATGTTCATGTTGCAACTGTTCTCAACATCCACTGTTCAACATTTTCCTTAACATTTAACACATTGAGCAGTTCTGGCTCACACAAGCTGAATTATTTGTCCTAGAGCTCCCACAATCTAGTGCATTACAATTTAAACTTCCATTAATTCCCATACATAATCTTCACTTTGTAGCCATAGTTGTCCTGGAACTCACAGAGATGCCTCTTCCTTCTTAGTGCTGGATTAAAGGGGCATGTCTCTATGTCTGGTTCACATACAGTTCCTCACACACAACTATCTTTTCAAAATAATTTTGTGACTAGACTGGAGTTCACAGATAATGCTTTTATATTTTTCTGTACTTAGAAAGTACAGTACCACTCCAGGCTCAAAAAAGAAATAAAAATCTATTGAATGAAAAAAAAATGCAAAGTAGAGAATAATTGCATTACTTCTGCTGACGTCTTCTTCAAAATTTTCTGATGCATTTGACATTTAAATATTTTGTAGATTGATCCCGGCAGTCACTTAAGCACCTTTAATAGTTATTAAGTTTGTTTTCGAGAAAGAGTTTCTCTGTATAGCCTGGCTGGCCTTGAACTCAAGAGATCCACCTGCTTCTGCCTCCTGAGTTCTAGGATTAAAAGCATGGGCCACCACAGCCTGGCCCTCAACAGATGGGAGCACTAGAGCTGTCAGAGGCCCTGCCCAACACAGAATGCCAAGGATACCGTATGCTCTGGAGGAAACTCATCTATCTCATCGTCATTTATGGGTAGCAGTGTATTTTCACAGCTTTTTGACAAACCTTAAAAATTAGGTATGGATCTAAGCTTCGATAATTAAACAACAGCAATATTTACATTAGAATAAAAAGGTACACCAAGTGCCATGCACAGACCTGGTATTCATATGAAGTTTGCTAATGATTTAGACAACAGTTTCATATACCATGGAAGCACTTAGAAATGCTTCTGTCCTCTGCTATGGCAATTTAATTCCGTGTAACTCCATTAAGAAGCATATACTTGACAACGTCAAACAATGGAACAGAATTAAGGCTGCCATCAACATACCTTCAATGTGTTCTCTTATGAATGGATCATCCATGATGTTGCTGTGATTTGTTTTCAGAATCTTTTCAAATTCAGTGATGTCATTATTCTGATAGGCACTAAGAAAAAGAAGTATAAATGTTGCCACATATAAAGTAATATATCATATCATAATCCAGAGTCTACTTCCCAATCTTTATATGCAAGAACGCAAGTTTTATTGTTTCTGTCACAGAAGTCAAAATTAAATACACACATACACAGCTCCCCCAAAAAACCATCTCCAACACTAAATAAACAAATCCCCCCCAAAAGTTTAAAGCCTTTTTGTTTTCTAAAGGAAAGAGTAAATGAATCTTTTTGTTTGGGGAGGGGATGTTATACAGATACATCAGTAATTTAAGATAATCTCAAATCTTTGTTTTATTTAAAGTTGACAATAAAATGTGTATTTTGTTTTCAATTAAATTGTGAATTTCTGATCCTAACTGTTCTTAATGAAAAAAACCATGTTTCATGCACATTATCCAACAAAGGAACCTGCTTTAGCTTTCAAATAAGACAGCATATCCTTTCTGAAGCAGATACAGAAAATAGAGCTTCCTAATTTTCATCTTCTAGAAAGCTACCAGCAACTGCAAAAACTTTTCAAAAGGCCTGATTCTCAAATTTTTCTAGCCTTAAAAATCCACCATCCTATCTAGCAGAAACACAGTGACAGGAATGCCAAATGCGCACATACAGAGGACACAGTGATGGAACCCCCAGTTGCAGAAGGCCAAAGGCTGATTTATGTCTATAATTCACCTTAGGGAATGTGGCACCTACTCTGAAACAACTGTGTAAGACACTATGGGGTTGCTAAAGGTGCTGAGAAGGAAGAAGCCAACCTTCTGGATATGGCACCACTGTGTGCTTTATATGTAAGACATATCATCAACCATTCTGCACGCCCTCTGCTGTGCTTCCATCTGTTGGGTCGCAATGTAACTTCATGTTAGGGGCAGGTGATTCAAGTGCTTCAACAGCAAATATTTTCCTCTAGTCTGCTGGCAACTGACTAGGAAGATAAAATTAGGAAGTATTACTTTTTTACCTGTCAATACACTGTAATGCACAACAGGAGGTATTTTCAAGTAGTGAAAACAATGCATGTATATTTTATCTTACATACACCTATATTTTAACTAGAAGAGATTTTCCCATTAAGTAGATTTTATTTTTATTTACTTGCTTGGGTAAAAGTGCATCATTACAATAACTTTTTGAGTTCCACTACAGATGATTTACTGGGGTAATGAGACATAATAAATACAGCATAATTATTACTCTGTAAAGGTGTGCTAAAGCAATTCTTTAATGTATTTTATTATACTTAACTGATTTATATAACATTAATTTCTAATTAAAACTTTTACTATTTAGGAAGCCAATGCTGAACAAAATATTTTAAAAGTATTCTTGCCAGTTGGTGGTGGCACACACATTTAATCCCAGTTACTCAGGAGGCAGAGACAGGTGGATCTCAATGAGTTCAAGGCCTACAGAGCGGAGTTCCAGGACAGCCAGGACTACACAAAGAAATCCTACCTGGAAAAACAAACAAAAAAAGTAATCTTAATATTAAACATATTTTAAATGTTAATTTGTAGTCAAATCAGCTCAAGATAATGTAATTATATAATTAATTTATATAATATATATAAATTAAACTACTTGAAAAAAAAGATTGGAGAAGGGCTCTGTCACAATTAAAGCAAATTTCATTCAACATTTAAATAAATTTAAAATGCAAGCAATGGAAGAATATGTTGATTAATGTAGCAATGTAAGGTATTTATAGCAAAATTTCTCCCAAACACTTGATTTTTTTTTTTTTAAACCTATGACTACAATTAAGGTTTCTTTTTCTATTTCTGAGGCAAGGTCTCACTATGTAACCCCAGCTGGCTTGGAACTCACTCTGCAGTGAGCCTGACCTCAAAATCACAGAGATTCTCCCAAATGCTGGGATTAAAGGTATGTAGTAGCACTATGCCTTGCCCTAAACAATTTTTGTTTTTTAATGTCATTTTACCTTGTCATTAAAAAAGTATGCTTTTTATGCTTCTTATTACTGAAAATGTTTGGTTTATCTTGGATCAATTCACAATTTATTTTAGACTTAAGGTAGGCAGCAGTATTAATATTGAGAAACAAAGTTTTAAGACATTTACTATTAGTTAAAATTGTCAAATATGTCATATACACAAACACATGGTTAAAAAGAGAACAAACAGAAAACATAAGTGAATAAAACAAAACAGAAAACCAAGCTGGGCTTGGTGGTATAGGCTTGAAAGAGGCCAAAGCAATAGGATTACAAGTTCAAGGCCAACCTTGGCAACTGGGTTCACTCTCCTATACTAGAAACAAGGAAAAACAAACATAAAACAAAACAACAAAGCAAATGAGACTTTATACATAGTTTGTGACTAACAGAAACAGCACAATGGCTTCAAAAGATAAAAGGACACGAACGTTTGTGCCTTTTACACAAATGTACCAAAAACCAGAAGCTGTCCATCAACTATTCTTTGCTGTTGTCTGTCCTTCCCCATTTGAGCTGCTTTAAACAAGTCTGCAGGGAAACAGAAATCTTACCTTACTAAATTTGTCATTGCTAGAATTTCTGGATCATTTTTATACGGCTTGGCCTAACAAAGAGAAACAAAACTAAAATTATGTACACGTACTGAAAGAGTACCTCTTAGTTCCCAAAAGGTAATCAACTAATAAGAGAAATGAGAAAAGTAGACATACCTCTTGTGAGTCAAAAGGATTTATTCCTGATTTCATTAGCATATTGGCTAAGACCAAATATTTTAAACAAGTGGTTCGTCTTGGGCTTCCTGATTCATCATAATTCTTGAAAGCTTCAAAAAAATCAGTATGTGCCTTTTCAAATTCGCCTTCTCTCAAGTGCATTTTACCACCACATTCTGCAAAGAATAAAACATGAGAAAAAGGAACATTTTCAGCTCAGCAATAAGATTAACTGGAGGCAACTGCATTGGTAGCCCCCATGCATTCCTGGTTTAATAGTATGTCCTGAATGGCAGCAGCCACAGTAACCCTAGAGTTTAACTGTATATTCTGCATGGCTGCAGTCAGGGTATGCCCAAGGTTTATACCTTCATCCTAGAAATCAAGTTCACTGAATACCAGCTGTTACTGCAAATCTTTACCACTTCTACTGACTAGGAAGTAATCTTTGGTGTCAGTACAAATCAGGAGTGTTACACCAATAACTTTTCTAAATAGTACCTTTACTACTGTGACCCTCTCAGGACAAGGACCTGTGCTAATTTCCAACAGATCACTTTATGATTTTCATACTTTAAATTTACTGTCAGTAAAACAGAAACAACCTAAGAACCACACAGTCCCATGCACTGACTCCTGGTATCTTCCTTCCTACTCTTTGCAACCTCCAAACTTGCCTCTGATGACACCCATGATCAGTGGGTGAGGGATGGCAGACTTGATGTGAAGTGATTGCTCATAGAGTGCTTTAAGCTTTTTGTTGTTCTTCTGTGCTGTGTACATTTGAATCTCCAAAGCATAGATTTCTAATAACTGGGTACCTTTTTTCAGGTCATCTTCTCCATCATCAGTCTAGGAAAACAAGTATTTTAAACAAGACAGAACGCAAGGACAACTGAGTAATTTTTATTAGCATTAAACTGGGAACCTTATATCCTCTCTGTGTAGAATGTATTACACATTTTACTGTGTCATGGCTAATTGTATAGCTACCAAAGGAACCTCCACATTCTTTTCCTATATTGTTACTGGATAGGGAAAAAGCTTTCGAAGTTTTTATATGTATAAAATATTCACTCAAAGAAAAAGGCATTCATTCATTCACTTACTTGAGAAAAACTGTGTGTGTTGCCATATGTGTATGGTTGTGCATTCCTGTGTGTAGGTCAGAAGAACACCAGGTGTCATATCATTTTCTGCCTTCAGTTAGGCTGGTGGCCAGAAAGTCCTAGCAGTCATACTCTGCCCCTGTTCCCAGTATTGGGGTTATAGGCATGCATGGCCATACTGACCTTTATCAGTGGGTGCTGTGGATCTAAATTTGTGTCTCCCTGCCAACTTAACAAAAGCATTCTTATTTACTGAGCCACTCCCCAGACCCATGCATTAAAATTTGATGTTGGAAGGCCCTTGCTGTCAAGCTGTCCTTCCTTCACATGGTCGAGAAGAGAAGCAATTCCCACAAGTTGCTCTCTGATCTCAATGTGTACTATGTGACATGTACATTTAAATGTAATTAAAACAATCAATGTAGTTTTATATTTTTAGCTAGGAGATATACTAATTGTCTCCCTTAAATCCTCACAATTGCTTTAAATATATATAGTCAATCAAGATGCATTTTCTGAGTGCATCTAGGGAAATAAAAATATGCCAAACTTTCTCATTTCAATCTTTCTTTAGTATGCCAAGGATCTCACATGGTGACCCTAAAAGATGCTTTCCAAATGTGAGCTTGAGGTAGTATATGGCCTATAGTAATATAGCTATAAATATTACTAAACAAAAAACACTAAACCAAATTTATTGTTCGAGTCACTGAACTTAAAATGTAGTTTAGTTATTCACAAATAAATTATAACCAGATTACCATGCATCTGTCTTAACATAATTTCTCTTATATTAGACACATTAGAATATACAACTGCTATATTGGATTGTAGACATATACACCATCACTCCAAATTATATCTGAGAGTAATGCTACAAATGACTTTCATGAGAATATAAAATATTTTTTAAATACTTATAAAAAATTCCTCCCCTATATTCTTAGAGCAAATAAGAAAATACCAAAGTTTACTACATATTATTACACAGTACAAATGTACTACAGAGTAGAAGAGACTTATTTGCTCACTGATAACTATACCTTATTCCATAAAGGGTAAGAATTGAAATAAGCATGTGGATCAGTGGTTCTCAACCTGTGGGTCACAACAACATGGGTGGTGATGGGGGATGTCCTTCTGCATGCTGTTTCTCTTATTGGTTGATGAATAAATGCTGATTGGCCAGTAGCTAGGCAGGAAGTATAGGTGGGGCTACCAGACTAGGAGAATTCTGGGAAGAGGAAAGGCAGGGAGCAGTTACCAGAGAGACGCCATGTAGCTACCAGGAAGATAGGAGACCCAGGCATTCTCCAGTAATATAAGGCCATGTGGAAATATATAGATTAATAGTTATGTGTTAATAATTAAGAGAGAGCTAGACAATAAGAAGCCTGAGCCATCAGCCAAACAGTTTGGATTCAATATAAGCCTCTGTGTATTTATTTGGAACTAAAGGGCTACAGGACCTGGAGGCACAGAAACCTCTGTCCACAGGGTGGAATTGAATGACTGGGGTCACCTATTAATATTCTACCTATCATATTTACATCACAATTTGTAAGAGCAGCAAAATTACAGTTATGAAGTAGCAATGAAAATAATTTTATGGTTGGTTCACCACAACATGAGGAACTGTATTGAAGGGTCACAGCATTTGGAAGGTTGAGAATCAATGATTCAGACAAGAGCAGAACTCAGAAAAAATAACCTTCACCCCAAGCAAAGCCTCCTTATACAGCCCAGACTGGCCTTGAACTCATGGTCTTTTAAAAACTTATTTCTTGAAATTTAATTTTTGGGATGGCTGCTTGAACAGAAACATTCCTAAATTAACTGAATACTATTATTTCACGGTTTTATCTTAATGAAATATTGAGCAAAAAAATAAGGAAACGTTACCTGACAAGACTGATGTAACTGGCGCAAAATTTTTTGAAGCTTTCCATATTCTTCTCGCTCTAAATATAATTTTCCAAGCTGTAAAATACAATAATTAAGATCAAATGCTTTTAGCATGAGGTATTATATATGCGTAGGACACTTTATTCAAGGCACCCACCCACTATTCAAAAGGAGGAACAAACGCAAATGTTACCTTTGTGTTTGTCTTAAACCACAGTCTATCATTCTTAGCATCTTTCAAAGCTTCCAGTGTTGTTTCATAAAATTCCTGCAGTAAATCCATCTGACATAAAAAATCAGAATTCTATAATTGTAAACAGCAAATTTGTACCTGTTAATAAAGTTAATTTGAACAAACTAAAAGTGCATCTTTGAACTTTAATACATTTGAGATACACAATTTGTTTCTTACCAAATGTCATCTATAGTCCAAAACATAAGAGACCATGTTTATAACTGCTAATATGTTTTTGTTTGCTTTGTAAACCCAAGAAATATACTTTCTGGACATTACCTGGACATAAATCCTAATGCCATAATAATCAGGTTTGTCTTTCTGAACCTAATCACTCATTTTATTTCAACAGAATGATACTCTGTTTTTGTTTTTCTTTTTTTTACTAAGTATACACACATTTTATTTACTCAGCCTTTATAACTTTCTATAGAGGAAACACTAAGCAAACTGAGAGACCAGGCTGGTGGTGACGAAGTTCACCTTATCCTCTTCATTGAGGGATTACAGCTGAGAGCCACCACATCTCATGAATGTCTTAGTATAGTCTTATTTTTCTGTCAAAATGTGATTAGACAATTAACTGCATGGCAGAGCTTTAAGTCACAGGGCAACCTTGGAGTTGGATGGAGGAAAAAGTCTATTGTAATTTTAGATGGTGGTTTAATCACTACCAATTCACTAATCTGAGTGTACTTTTCCTCCCATAAAAAGCATTGTTTTAAACCACCTTAAGCTTCTCTGTTAACCCTCTTCTATTCGCAGCTTTGCTCTTGGTATCTGGATCCCTGAATCACTACATAACAGAGAGGAAAGAAAACCAGGAGAGCAGGGGAGTCTGACTGTCTCCCCAGAAAAGGCTGCCAATATATTTACTAAGGATTATTGACAGCATAAAATAAGGTAGAATGCCACCCACACAAGAGTTACTTGGCCTTTCAAAGGCAAAAAGCTTTCAGATGACAGCATACAGAAGAATACAACCTTCAAGCTTTAAAATTATTCAATTCTAGTCCTCTAACATCTGGTATACTTATAAACACAGTACCAAAAATGTTTTTATGATACTTGTTTTGTAAGTAGCGAAAAAATATTCCCCCACTTAATTTAGTGTTATTTATTTAGAAACAGTGTCTCATGCAGTCCAGCACAGTCTTAAACTCACCTTGTTCCTGAGGATGGCCTTGAACTCTTTCTTATTCCTACTGTCCCTACCTGTCAAGTCCTGGAATCACAGGCATGTGCCACCAGCCAGACTGGTCTCATTATACAGCAGAATCGTCACATGTAACTTATACTAGAACTACTGCTATTAAGTTACAAGGCTATGGGCTGGGGAGGTGTCTCAGAGGTTAAGAGCACTGGCTGCTCTTCCAGAGGCCCTGAGTTCAATTCCCAGCAACCACATGGGTCTCACAATCATCTATAATAAAATACTGTAAATCTGTAATCCAGAATACTGTATATGTAATAAATAAGTATCTTTAAAAAGTTACAAGACTATTGCCTTAATCTGCCTATTTAGATGGGAAAATACAATAAACTATCTCAAGAAAGAAAGAGACAAGTGTGTGTGTGTGTGTGTTGGGGGGGTGATGAGGCTAATTCTGAGAACACTGGTCAGGAGTACAAAAAGAGATACTAAATGATATAGAGAATATCTTGTGTTCAATACCAGAGGGTAAGAAAGTTTAAAAGAAAAAAAAAAAAGGAATGAAATATATAAAACCACCATTGCTTTTGTTAACCACCACATTCTAGAAGATCCAATCTCCCTTACCACCTCCCTTTATCAATGAAATATATAAAACCTCCATTGCTTTTGTTAAGCACCATATTCCAGAAGAACCAATCTCCCTTGGCCACCTCCCTTTATCAGCTATCACCATGTATCTTTGGTGATTTTTTTTTTGTTTTTTTTTCGAGACAGGGCTTCCCTGTGGCTTTGGAGGCTGTCCTGGAACTAGCTCTTGTAAACCAGGCTGGTCTCGAACTTACAGAGATCCCCCTGACTCTGCCTCCTGAGTGCTGGGATTAAAGGCGTGCGCCACCACCAGCTTTTTTTTTTTTTTTTTTTTTTTAAAGATTTTATTTATTTATTTATTATGTATACAGTCTTCTGCCCACATGCCAGCAGAGGGCACCAGATTGATCTCATTCAAGGTGGTTGTGAGCCACCATGTGGTTGCTGGGAATTGAACTCAGGACCTCTGGAAGAACAGTCAGTGCTCTTAACCGCTAAGCCATTTCTCCAGCCCAACTTCTTTTCTTTCTTTCTTTCTTTTTTTTTTTTTTTTTGAGACAGGGTTTCTCTGTATTGTTTTGGAGGCTGTCCTGGAACTCGTTCTGTAGACCAGGTTGGATTTGAATTCTCAGACATCTGCCTGCCTCTGCCTCCCGAGTGCCGGGATTAAAGGTGTGCGCTATCTTGCTTGTACAATTGATTGCAGAGCACCTATTGATACTGTCACAGGACTAATTCTTCTCAAGGAATTTAATCTAATTAAATATCACAATTTGTGACTGATGTTCAGTATTTAACACCCCCAACTGCTAAGGGAAGACTGGGGGTGCAGCTTCAATGGGAACAAAACTTGTTTAGCATGCTCAATGCACTTCAGATGCAGACACAATTTCATCAAAAACAGAACTATGATAGGCAAATGGAATCTGAACTGAATACAGGTCTGCCTGAGTTACTTACAGGTAATATCTAAAGATACTATTAAAAGAGATTAGATTAGACTTATTACCTTTAAATGTTAATTAGTAACAGAATCAAGGAAATGGAACACACTGCTTTTAAGCACACTAGTAATTATTAACTAGACCTTTTCTTTAAAAAAAAAAAAAAAAAAAAGTCTTGGCAGCCATGGTGGCACATGCCTGTCTACCAGCACTTGGGAGGCAAAGCGGGAAGGTCTAGGAGCCCAGGGCCACCCTTGACCACAGCTAGTTACGATGCCAGCTGTGCTATATGAGATGGTCTCAAAAAGAAAAGCAACTATCGCAGCAGCAACACCCCAAACCCACAGAACTCTTACTTTAAATAACACAATGACAGCTGATGAGGAAAAACTCCAGTCTAACCTGTTTAGAAGTGGAGATATAATCAAGGATAGAATTAATGGACTTTTCAGAATAGTTCCTGGTTACTGCACTCCGAATATAGGTCAAGAGTTGCTTATATCTGTTCATCATTTCTGGAAAGTTTGTCTGTGAGGAAAGAAAAATATTTGATTGGAGACAGGACTAAGATCCAGTACAAACCACTGCCCACTGAACTGGACCTCCCACAATTCACGATATGCTCTTGTAAAGGAGGAAGAACACTACAGACATGTTACCTTACATACAAGACGACACAAACCAATGTCGGAATTCGGCCTACTAAACAGATGAAACTTGTATATTTTCCATGTTTCAAATATTCCTCTTCACTGCACAACACATTTGATTAGAAAACTACTAAGATATCTACTAAACAAAAGAAGCAGATTTTAATTTTCAAATGTAGTGGCCAATAACTATGCAGATATCAACTATTTCTCTTCTAAATAAAGATTCACCCTAACTTTCTAACAAGAATTACACGTTTCATTTCTCCCTTGAACTGCTGGCTTTCTATAAGGTCAAAGAACCTCTTCTAGTCTCAGGATTTATCTCACATAAGAAAATTATCCCAGGATGTGTGGAGGATCTGAGAGGAGTTGGGGGGGAGGGAAACTGTACTAAGAATAGATTGCAAAAATAAAATAAAATAAAAAATCTATTTTTAATTAAAGTAAGGAAGGAAATTATCCCATACAGGGCCCTACTCCATAGTAGACAAGGTTAGTGTTGTCTAAACATTATGTTGTATAACTGTTTATAAACTGTTTTGGGTTATTCCAGGACACAGGAAAGATCAGGAGAAACAAAAGGATACCAATGAAATGAAATGTCCAGCAGTTAGATATTTGGGGTGGGTCATGTAAGTCAAGGAGTCTAACTGTATAATCTGATCTAATCTTTACAATCTCTTATTGCTACTAACCTCTTTCATTGAGTTTCTTTCAGGGAATGGTGCATTGTCAGTATAAATACTTTCTTCTGGTTATTAGGGTAAGGAATAAGGGAACAATAGCTACAGGTATCTGTTTTTCTAACTATGGAAGTTTCATGAGGACATAACTAACAAGGTCTAGCCTATAAGCAACCTGAAGTTACAGAATGTTTTCTTTAGAAAGAGAAAAGATTGTCTCAACTTTGACATTACATTTTAGTACTAAATAGGATTTTTGAAAAAGGTACTTCTGAATTATTTCTCACCATACTTAACTTTAAGCTCATGGTTGCAATCTGAATGTGAAATGTCCCCGCAGGCTTGTGTTTGAATACCTGGCTGGTAGACTGTTTGAGAAGGTTGTGGGAGTTTCAAGAAGAGGATGCAAGTCCTTGAGTGACAGCTGTAAGGTTACATACCAGCCCCACATCTTGTTCACACACTGTTTCCTGAGTATGCATGTACTCGACTAGCCTCCTGTGCCTGCCACCGTGCCATTCCTGTCTGCTATTACATCTTCCTCGCTATGTTAGACCGTATCCTTCTGAACTGTAAGCCAAAATAAGTCCTTTCTTCCTTAAGAAGCTTTTGTCATGGAAATAATCACAGCAATGAGGAAATAACTAAGACACTCATCCCTTCCCCCAATTATTTGTGAGGGTGTGTAAAATAAAATTTGTACCATGTCATGAATGTGGAGGTTCAGAGGACAGCTTGTGTGAGTTGATTCTCTCTTTCCACCACATGGGTCCCAGGGATTGAACTCAGGCTGTCAGACTTGATGGCAAGCACCTTTCTTTATCTACTCATCCTGATAGCTCTAAGACCCTCATTTTAAAAAGTTATGTTAGACAGACATGGTAGTGAATTCTTTTAATCCCAACACTAAGAAGGCAGAGGCAGGTGGATCTTTGTGAGTTTGAGGTCAGCTTGGTCTGCATAGCAAGTTTCAGGACAGCCAGGGCTAAATAGATAGACTCTGTCTCCAACAACAACAAGAAAAATGGGCGGGGGGAGGTACAGGCAGGGAACTTAAATTAGGTTAATTGTAATTAAAGATTGAAGAGAAGAATAAGTAAATTGGTTGCACACAGAGCAAGTGAAACAGAACCTTTTAACTATACTGCCCAACAGCTACACAGGTTCTATTGTGGATCTAACTAGAAAATAAGCGCAGACACCAGGTCTCTTGTGGTCTCCTACTTACAGATGCTGTGAAGACCAGGAAGACAGTACAATGAAGCAGCTAACCCTTTCCTAACTTTCCTAGCTCTGTTCAAGGTAAAACAGAAAAACCAAGTCTTAAGGGCAGCCTGCTGTTTAAATGGACTAAAACCAAAGCCACTGTTATATGTGAAGATACCAAGTTTTAAAGGAATCATGTTTTCTTGCAAATCACAGCATCTTAAAAGTTGATATTTAGCATTTAATGTTACATTTTTTGTTAATTCAAATCTCTGCCCCTTAGTCACCTGATTCTTCTTCCACACTTAAATATTATTTTTCTATTATAAATATAGGAAACATTGGTGTAATATTATAAAAATAAACAGAAAGCACAGGGGCTTTGTGCAAAGGCATACTTTGAGACGTATAACCAGAAAGGATAAATGCAACATAGATGATTTTCCTTTGTTAGCTAGATTTGAATGGTTCTAATATTTGGGGTCAAAGACTTGAGCTCAAACATTTTACTGATAGATTTTGCAGGAGAGGCTTAAGGAGCCACTCTTATTAAGGATTGATACCACAGTCAGAATACATCTGAGAGTGGAATAAGCCAGGCCTGATGACACAGAACCAAAGCACTAACCAGAGATGATTTAACTTTAGATAGATGGGATAGAGAAGTGACTAGGAGAGGAAGGAGGCATTTGGAAATACAGAAACCAGAAAAAGAAAGTGGTAACTAGTTTTGCAGCTGCTTTCTGGACCTGCTTAGCCTCTGCTCACCTGCACTCCCACTGTACTTTCTCTCAAATGTACTACCAAAGCTGGCAAGGAGACACACATCTGTAATCCCAGCATCTTCGAGACTGAGGCAAGTTCAAGGTTGCCCTGGCCAACACAGTGAGTCCAAGGGCAACCAGGGCTAGATAAGAAAAGCTGTTTAAGCCAAAAGAGAAGAAAGAAGTTTCTCAATCCCCGGTGATGTAAAATTCATGTCTGCAGTTAGCTCTCCTCCTCATTATTATTATTATTATTATTATTATTATTATTATTATTATTATTGTGTATGTGTGCACTGCACATGTGTGTGCATTTGTATGTCTGTGTGCATGTGTAAATGATGTCTCAAGGACCTGGAACTCACCAGGTTCGCTAGACTGGCTAGCCATGAAGCCCCAGGAATCTTCCTTGTCTTTATCTCCCAGCACCAGGATTACAAGTGTGTGCTCAGCTTTTATGTAGGTTCTAGGCATTGAACTCAGGCCTCCTTATACTTGTTTTTCTTTTATTTAAGATTTTATTTATTTATTATGTAGACAGTCTTCTGACTGCATGCCAGCAGAGGGCACCAGATCTCATTCAAGGCGGTTGTGACCCACCATGTGGCTGCCGGGAATTGAACTTAGGACCTCTGGAAGAACAGTCAGTGCTCTTAATCGCTGAGCCATCCCTCCAGCCCCCGGCTCCTTATACTTGTGAAGAAAGCCTTTACTAGGAAAGTAATCTCCCACCCCCTTTCCTCCACTTCTACCCTGCCATCTTCACTTTTGTTTGTCTAGTTTAAGAAAAACTGATGATTGAAATTCTATGAAAATACAAGCATGGCATATCCTGCTTACCTATCAATCACTCAACAGAATATGTGAGTACCCACTAAATACCAACTACAGGGGAAAACAAAGCCCTGTTTCTACAGAGCTTATAGCTCACTGGTGGGGAAGGGTACAGAGAAAAATCAATGAATAAGCAAGTCACAAAGCACAGAAACAGCAGAGGAGGACATCTGATGGGCAAATGGCATCTGAGCAGAGCCATATGGCTGAGAGAAGAGCATTTGAAGCAGAGGCAACAGCAAAGAGGTCTCTGAGGGCCACTGTAAAGATTTTGGATTTTATTGAGGGGCAATGAGGACCACAGAAAATTTGAAGGAAAGGATGGCATCATCTAAGTTACATATTAAAAAGATGACTCTGCTACCTAGGAGAATAACTGTAGCAGAACAAGGATGGATACAAGACCAGCTAACAGGACACCACAACGATACAAGTGAGAGATGACCAGAGTAGCAGAGTATATGAGCATCTTCTGACCTTCTTGATTTGCTGATTGATGCTGGTGGGACGAGACATCAGAGGTGTCAGTATAATGATAAAGTACTTGGCCTCAGTCAGTGGAGAAGAGCTCTTGGTAATGAATGAAAATTTTAAACTCCAAAATAAACCTCTAAAGCAAGTTTTTCAAAACCCTACAAATAATGCACCTAAATAATACAGTAATACACAAAGGCACATCTAAGGGATATGTTCACCATACAGAAAACATTTTTTATCTTACATCAAATTAAAAAGCTAATAGTGGAGGGAGAGGACACAGGAGGGGTTGGAGGGAGGAAAGGTGTAACTATTTTAATCAGAATTTTAAAAAGAAAAGATCAGTATTGTTTTAGTCATAATATTCAGTCCACACATGGACAGACATCAATAGAATGACTTTAGAGAGGGAGACATGGGGTATGCAGCAGGAGGCTTGAATGCAGTTACTCACGATGAAATTTCTCTAAGAATTAATCTTACCAATTTGAAGTTAATCTTGATCATCTGTTTCAGTGCTTTGAACCCCCATTCTCCCTTCTCACCTTCGAGTTCCAAAACCTAAAATGGGGAGACAATTTTAGTCTTAATATTAATGTACCATGTTTGAATGATAACCAATGTCAAAGTCTTGAGTTAATTTTTATAAGCTATTCATGAACAGTATTTTCTTCCAAATTTTACTAGGTAATATTACTATGTAATTTTTAAGAGGATTAAAAGAGACTTCTTGGGATCCTTGGGAAGTGAGCTGACTCTGTCATGTAGGAGGGCTTACTTGATTACAAAGGCCCAGAAAGGACTTCCCTACCCAAATCATCTTTAGTAACAACCAATGTTCAGAAGTCAAGAAGTCAATGTGATCTGTACCCAGAAGCAACAGGGTTATAGTATTAACTATTAAGTAGTGCTGATCACGAGATTGTTTCTTTAGTGTGGTTTTTAGGATAAGGACCCTGCTTCACCAACAGCATAATTAGAAAAGACAACAGAACCCTTTCTGAAACACATGCTTATTATCCACAAAGCAATCCTTCTGACAGGATTATCATAAATATCAACAGTTCTGAAATCAATTACTTTGGATTAAATGCACATGCCATGGTTCGGAAATAAAACGTCTGCCTCATGTGTTCAACACTTGGTCCCCAACTGATGGTGCTATCTTGGGATGTTGTGGAACCCTCAGAGGGTAGAATCTAGCTGGAGGAAGTGAACCACTGGAATTTGGTTCCACTTCAGTCCAAGTCTCTCCCCGCATTTCTTGGTTGTCTTAGCTACTTTTCTACTACTGTGATAAGACACTGCGGCCAAGACACTTTATAAAAGAAAGTGTCTCATTTAGGCACACAGTTTCAGAGGGTTAAAGTCTATAACAGTGGAACAAAGGCATGGCAGGCAGCAGGGACAGCAGAGAGAGAGAGAGAGAGAGAGAGAGAGAGAGAGAGAGATTGGGAATGGCATGGACTTTTGGAACCTTAAAGACCATCTCCAGTGACACACCTCTACCTCCAAAACCACACCACTTAATCCTACCCAAGAGTCCCACCAACTGGGGACCAAGCATTCCATTCAGACATATGAACCCACGAGTCATTCTCATTCAAATCACATTGGTCCACCGAGATGGGAAGAATCCCAGTGACATGCTCTGGCCAATATAGCTTTCCTACTATGAGAGACTACTGCATCCAAAACAGTGAACAGAGACAAATACTTCCATCCTTGTTTTCTGTCAGATATCTGGTAGTAGCAATGAGAAAAGTAACAGACAGAGCATCATTTAAAAAACAACCTTCAAGACATAAAATCAGTTGGGAATAGAAACCTTTTGGAAACTGCTTAGTGCTGCTTTTGGGTCATCTTCTTTCAATGCTTTGGAATTATAGTACTGATTTTCCAAATCCACGTTGGGCTCAGAGTTACTATCTTCGGAGTACTCCTGTGTATTGGAAAGAGAGATAATAAATGAGGAAAAGAAAGTCACAAATGGCACTATAAAAAGTGAATGCTGCTAGGATAAAAAAATTTTTGTATAAAATAAAACAAACCTTGAACACTGATCTTATTTTTAAAATGGAAAAGTAATAAAGTACACAGTGAGATAGAAATTCTTTTTCTAGATCAAAACTAGCACTTCTGAAGGCTGGAAGGTGGGTACAAGGGGTAAGAGTGCTTGCTATGCAAGCGTTAAGACCCGAGTTCAAATCTCCAACATGAATGTAAAGAACCAACATGAATGTAAAAGTGCCTGTAACCCCAGGTCATGTGGAGGGGTGAAGTGGGCATATCAAGGACTGTTGGGGCCTGTGGCTACCAGTATAGTCCCAAGTTCAGTGAGATTAGGAAACCTGACACCATCCTCTCTCTTCGACACTGTCCACTCATGCATGGTGCATATATCACACACATACACACTAAGTAAAAAAAAAAATAAAATAAAAAAATGCAAAACGGTCGTTCTGTGAAATCGATGAGTATTTTGTAATCCTCATTAATATAATAAAATCTTACAACTATTTAACTTTGCTTATTGCTTCTTGTTGGTCTTTGTTTTGTTTTTCGAAGCAGAGCTCTCTGTAGCCCCTAGCTATCTTGGAACTCACTATGTAGGCCAGGATGGCCTTGAACTCAGAGATACGACTGCCTCTGCCTCCTGAGTGCTGGCATTAAAGGCATGCAACATCACTATCCAGCTTACATTGCTTCTTATAGCACCTGTTTTTTATTTTTTTAAAGCAACCTTTACTTCTGATGTATTATTTTTCAGTAAGAACTAAAAAATACTTCTGCAGATCCTGCATTTCAGCTCACTTATTTGGATGTTACAATGCTATCTGGACTGGCGAGATGGCCTGGCAGGTGTGTGTATAGGTCAGAGCACAGCCTGCCAGAGAATCTCTCCTTCCATATGAGTTCCAGGAATGAACACAGAATGTCAGGTTCTGTGGTAAGTGCTCTAACCTGCTGATCCATCTCACTGGCTCAAAAAATACTATTTTAGATGGCCACAAAATAAAGATTTTTTTTTCTCTGCACCTACAAGTCATTACAAATGGATAAGTTTATATCAAAAGAATGGTACTAGAGGGGAAGGGAACAAATACAAAGACATGAATATTAGAGTTGTTTTAAATTAAAATAGTTTATATCTTCAAAAAATATACATGGAATATTGTTAAGGGCAGAGGCATAAAGAGAGTTTCAGTAAGCACAACGTTTAGGAAGCTCAGAAATACAAGATGGCTTTTTCAGTGGCTTTGTAATGCATGCCCTCTGCAGAGTGAGAACACAAATGACATTCTCACAGACTAAAGACTTATGAAATTCAGCTAAGTTTAACACTTGAAACTCCACTGGAACACTTCCTTTAGAGACAAGACCAGACTAGGTAAAAAATATACTTCATAATGATTTATTTTCTTAACTCTTGTTACTTATAACAAAACTTTAATAAAGGTAAAAAAATACTAGAGAATTAACAAACCCACTGTCTATCATAGTGACAGGGGCTTTAACACAGCTGGGTTTGAAAGATAGATGGGTTCACTGTCTTCTTTAGTAGAAACAGGTGAGGTAAGGAGCACAGTGAAGGCAAGAGTGGCACACAACATGAGGCAACACAACAAGCTCGCACAGGGACACTCCCAGATCACCCCAACTCCTTGCTCTTCAGCCACACACTTCTCTACCAAAGAAAGTTCACCTTTCCACAAGCTGTACCAGCCTTCCTGATCTCCTTCTTAACCTTCAAGTTCTGACCACATGTTAAACAGTCAGAATAATCCTCACAAAATGTCTACTATCTAGAATATTTAATAAAAAATGACTTCTCATTGGTCACTAAGTAAGCTGAAAGTGGTAAAAATCTGACCCTGCCCACACCCAGCATCTCCTATGAAACTAGCTCTTCCCTCACTCATTCACATTGCTGCAGTCACCCTGGCCTTTGCTCAAACTTCTTCCCACCTTCACATGATACCCTTCTCTTTGCATCTCTCATCTGGGTATCTAGGATCTGACTTCTTAAAATGTGGGTTATAATCCAATGCAGCCAGGGGTTGGGGTGGGGAACACAACATAGGACAGATGGATGGGACCTGAATGTGAAGGGGGAATGCTACAAAAAATTTTGACAATAGTAAAAGTTATCTGAAAAAAGAAAAAGAAAAAAAAAAGAAGACCAAAATTAATAAGACACCAAACATTTCTGGAAGCACTAGCCAGGTTACTCTTCGTGACATCACTGCAACCTGGGTTGTGAACACAGAAAGACACTTTGCACTGCGGATGTCAATGAACAATGTCTCAAACACCTTGGCTCAGACTTGACTAGTGTCTGCTATGAAATGTAGTGTGTGCCTCACATACAGTCTCCTACTCTTACAGAAGTAAATGGTTTAATTACAGAGAACAAAGACTTTAGTACTATTCTACAGATGTTCCTCAGACATCAAATTACTTTGATTGGAGTGTATTGTTAGGACTACTGATTTTAAAAATTGCTGTTTGACTCACTAACTTGTTGCATTAAAAAAATCATTAAATGGATTTTGGCTTGGAATAAGGGTAGAATTCCAGTATTTTCCAAAATGGACCTATAACATATATTATTTTATATGTATTTATGTGAAGCTGTAATGTCAGCATTGGTGGTTATAGATCAAAGTATCAATCAATTGTGGAAAACAGTAAAGATCCTCTGTTCTGTGTGTCCTACACTCAAAAAATTATCCTTTTGGCAACCCAAATCTTCTGAATGCAGCCCTAAATCTGGAAATGAATGAAAAATAATTCTGACTGCCATATTACAAAAAGTTTAAGATTTTAGATTCTTTTTTTTTCAAATAAGATTTTATTTATTTATTTATTTATTTATTTACTATGTATACAACATTCTGCTTCCATGTATATTTGCACACCAGAAGAGGGCACTAGATCTCATAAGGGATGGTTCTCAGCCACCATGTGGTTGCTGGGAATTGAACTCAGGACCTTTGGAAGAGCAGTCAGTGCTCTTAACCTCTGAGCCATCTCTCCAGCCCGATTTTGGATCCTTATTCAGTGTTCATTACCAATACTTAGTCAGGTAATGGTTAGGATATATTTATTGGAGAAAATGCCTTACTTACAGAGCTCCCTAAACTGGCAGGAAACGAAGCAAGCAGAGCAAGCCGAAGCAGCAGGGAAAAAAGAGGGGCTTCCCACATGTGTCCCCTCACTCTTACACTTTTCTCATGTCATCCTGTCCACGCCCTAGGAGGACAGGTACACCTGTAGACAGCCCCAGGAGGCGTGGTTAGGGTGACCCCTACAAGTGTTCATTTATTTTTTGGTTTTTAGCCCAAAACGTAAAACAAAAACAAAAACCAAGGCAAGGATCAAGAAGGGAAAGGCCAAGAGGCACAGTCTATGGCAGAATAAATCAAGGAATTTCCAGCAGCAAGGAAACAGAAAATGCTTTACAGGCTGAAGAGATTAGCTTCAGTTACCTTTCACTCTGAGACAACTATAACATGGCTGGAAAGCAAGTTCTTTATATTTTTCTGCCGTATGGTAGACAGTGTGCCTTCTTAGTCTCAAAACAGCCCACTGGCTACTCCTGAGAGTTGGATAAAAGACAATGGATGCTTGAGCTCAGGTGGTAGAATGAAGAAAAAAGGAAGAGAATGTGGTTAAGAACAGAAGATGTGCAATGAATTCAAGATGCCAAAGTAAAAAGATGGCCTCATGGGTACTGGGAAAGGAAAACAAAGTTAACTACAACAATTACTAATGAATGGCTTTGTAACACAAGATAACAATCAGAATAGAGAATTTGATGCATTAAGCACTGACTGCTAAACTGAATTTGATTCTGATGAGTAACAATTTGTACAAGTTTCAACGAAATGTTTTTAATAGAAACCAAAATTTCAGTCAGTTTGTGAATATCTTAAATAAAAGTTTAAGCAACATATGTAAAATAAAATCACTTGGATAGTATAAAAGGGATTTAAAAATCTTGGGGTTTTTAACCTACCGGTACAGTAACTCAACTCTCTCCAAAGCAGTCTATGATGACCCACCTACACAGTCTGTGGCTACTCTCTTTCCCCCAAATATGCCATAGCATTTTGAATTGCTGTTTTAACACAAATCATACTTTTATCTTGGCCATACTGGAGAGAGACTGAACTCAGGCCTTATACATTTTGGGCAAAACCTCTACCACCAGTGATTTTGCTTAATTCTTTTTATTTTCTTTGAGAAAAGGTCTTACTAAGTTGCCTTGCAATTCTCCTGCTTCAGTGTCAGCCTGCAGTCAGAAGCCGGAGTCACTAGCAGTAGCAAATGGTACTCTGGTTAGGAATCTTCACAACTCCCTCTCCTTCTGGTTCTCCTCTGCAGCTCCCAGCCTTACTCTCCTTGTTAAATGCACTCACCAGGGCTTTCCTTTTTGATCCCTCGTTCTTTTTAGCAGAACCAACTCCTACATTCATGCTTCTCTCTACATGACATACATGTGGCTTATGGGCTTATTGTCTACACAGCCTCCTCACTTCTCTCAACCCCACTATGAACAACAACCAACAAATCCTTTTTTTTTTTTTTTTTTTGAGATAGGGCCTCCAGGATAGTTCTGGCTGTCCTGGAATTCACTCTATAGACCAGCCTGGCCTCAAACTCACAGAGGCTCTTCCTGCTTCCTCCTCCCTAGTGCTGGGAAAAAAGGTGTGCACCATCATGCCCAGCTATCTACTGACTTCTAAAAGCAGAAATTTTCTTATGTTTTATGTTTCTGAGACATTACAAAGTGCTCATTAAATGTGCTAACAATCCAAATTAACAGTGTACACCAGTCAGGGTTAATTTCTGACCACACAATGAAATGTAGCCCCTTCTGAACAAGACCCATTTTATGGTTTATTAACATACTCATGCCATCAATACAGGTTCTAAGGAATACACATTAGAAAAATGGATCCATCAGCATAATGCTTTCTGACTTTTCCACTTATAGCCATCTGCACCAGAGGCAAAGGACACTGGGAGGTAGAGGGGAATGGACCATTATTATTTTTTAATAAATTTTTATTTAAATTAGAAGCAATCTTATTTTACATATCAATCCCTGTTCCTTCTTCCTCCCATCCTCCTATGCCCCCCCCATTATTCTTAAAATACCAGATATAATACAAATCCTAGTTAGTCATTTGTGTTTCAACTACCCAAACTAAAAAACTCACTCAAGTTAACTTGCACTAATTTATAATCTATGGTATAAACAGGAATCATCTTTTTATTCATCCCAAACTTTGATTTTCAGTGAAATTTCCAAGGAGAGACATTAATACCACGTGACCGAGGATCCAGTTCTCATTCTCAAATGTGTTCTTTGGATTTAAGCATGCTATTGTCCCAATGCTTTTCCTTGTCTGCTAAGTTTGGAGGTTCCTTTTCCTTGTAGGAGGCTTTCAGTTCTTCCTGAAGCCTAGATATTCATATAGGATATAACGCACAAGTGCAAACTTATTTTGGATGCTCATAGCTTACAAACAAACTTACCATGGTACATTTAAAAATGGTTTATTATGAACAAAATGTATTTATGTACGCTTATTACTAATGATTTAACTCATCAATTCATTGATCTAATTTTATCATCACCACACAAGTTCGGTCAGCTGCTTATTTTAGTTACCCTCATTTAAAACTCTGAGATTCTTTATATATAGTATACCAATAAACTAACAGACCCTTTTGAAAATTCACAGAAATTTTTATTCTAAATCAGTATTATTTTTTGACTGTAGCTTTAAGAGGCAGTGTCCAACAACACTGACGTGGATTGTAGTTAACACTTCTGAAGAAAACTACCTTTAGTGGAGTTAAGTGTTTTGGTTTTAGTGAACTGCTTTTAATCCAAGACAGCATTACACAGTTTAATAGTTTACATTAACTGTCAGTATAATTTTCAGTTACAGTTTTAAAAAAGATTTATTTTATGTGTAAGAGTGTTTGTATGGATGTATGTATGTACACCATATGCATACCTGGTTCTGCAGAGGCTAGAAGAAGATATTGGATCCCCTGAAACCAGGAGTTACAGTCAGTCTACATGGGTGCTGGGAACTAAACTCAGGTCCTCTATCAGAGCAACCAGTGCTCTTAACCTCTGAGCATCTTTCTAGCCTCATGTTTGTTTTTTAAGTTATACATTGTTTATAATACTGCAGACGGAAAACAGGTCAAATTGTTATCAACAGGGAACCAGTCAAACAAAATACAGTACCTACATATCAACTTTGGAGCTGTAAAAAGAGCAGTGAACTGGCAAAAGGACTCATTGGTTAAAGGTACTTGATGACAAGCTTGACAACTGGGATTTTAGCTATGAACACACATAGTAGGAGAGAACAGCTCCCACAGATTATCTACTGACATCTACATGCATGGAGTAGCGTACACACACACCAAAGTAAATACATACTTACAAAAATATTTTCAAAAGAGTAAGTTCTTTGCATCTCTCAGATAAATTAAGAATAATACATAAACTATATCCTGGTTAAATGAGGCGACACAGATGTTTAACTTGGTTGCTTATGAGAGTGTAATGAGAACTGGGCAGATAAGGACTTAAGAGTGCAAAATTTTATGTCTGTGCATGCAAGGATATCTGTGACAAGAGATTCTATTAGATATTCTGTAGCTAAATCTCATCCCCCACCCAAACACACAAAAAAACCCCAAAATCTGGGGGCATTAACATATATTAAAACTATCCATTCACTAATGTCAACTATGATTTAGACCAAGGGAACATTAGACAGCTTGGTGAAACTATTCTATTTTATAGACAGTAGTTTCCACATAATTCATTTAAATAATTATGCTCAAAATATAAATACCCTAACCATGGAACAGAATTTTAGAGAATAACTTTGGAAATAAAAACAGTTTGCTTAATTTATTTCTGGAACTATTAGACGGATCAGTGGGTAAGGCTGGCTTGCAGCAAAGACTGACAACCTGAGTTCCATACCGGGACCCACATGGTAGGGGAGAATCAACTTCCCCAAGCTGTCCTCTGAAATCCACATGTGCATTACAGCACACTTATGTACACAAATAAAAATTTAAACATGCAAAAATATTATTAGAAACACAAAGTAACTTTATGTTACAATAGCCAATTCTAATATTATTCTTGACTTAATGAACGGCACTGGACTGAAAGACTTTTGCTAGTGCCATCTCTTCTCTCTACAACCAACACTACATGGGTTGACACTACTTAGAGAATGCTTATCTTTGCCTACAATCAAAATAAAAGACTATCAAAATAAGAGGCCAAGTGCATTGAATGCCTACATTTATTCTTCAGCAATTTCTTTTAAATAATGGACATAAATCATTATTTACCAATTTGAACAAAAAAAAAACAGTATAGATGAGGACTGAAGAGATAATCAATGGTTAAGAGCACAGGCTGCTCTTGCAGAGAACCTACATTTGGTTCTCAGCACTTACATGGTGGCTCACAAACATCTGTTAACTCTAGTCCCAAGGGATCTGACACCTTCTTCGGCTCTTCAAGGGTACCAGGTAGGTACTCAGTACACAGGCGTGCACACATACACATGAATGGAGACAGATTTTTAATTCTCAGGACTGTCCCTGGCCACCTATTTCCACAAATACAAAAGGTGGTTTAGGGTATTAAAATACCAATGGACAACAGATAAAGATATGCTAAGAATCACTATGGTCCGAAATACTCTTGGTGCTATTAACATTTGTTGTGGGATATTTGTACACTATGTGAAGATATATTGCTGTGATCAGTGTAATAAAAAGCTATACAGCTAATAGCTAGGCAGAGAGTGGAAACTGGAGAATCTAGGAACATGTCAGTCAGACACCAGTCAGACTTGGAATGAGTCGGACACACAAAATGGAATAGAGGCAAAAGTCACATGATAGAATGTAGATTAATACAAATATGGATTATTTTAAGTTATAAGAACCAGTTGAAAATAAGCCTAAGTTAAAGGCTAAGTTTTCATAGTTAATAAGCCTCCTTGTTATTGTGAGCTGGCAGCCTAAAGAAAAATCCGACTACAAATATTTGAATTAATTAGTTAATTCAAACAGAATCATGTAGTCCAGCCCAGCCTCCAGCTTAGAATGTAGCCAAGAATGGCCTTGAGCCTCTGATCATTCTGCTGCTTTCTACCACCCAAGTGATACAGGATGACAGAAGTGTGCTACCACATCTAGTACACATGGTGCTAAAAACCAAACCCCTGGCTTTTGAAATGCTAGGGCAGCACTCTAGCAAATGAGACACACATACTAGTCCATTTAATAAATAAAATGAAGAGATAACCAATTTTCTAACAAACACATTTAACACTCTCCCCCCAAAACCCTCGCCCCACCTCACCAAACAATGCTAGCTTGGACTGGTGCTGCAGGCCTGTCATCCTCACTATTCTAGATAAGTTCAGGGCCAGCCTGGGCAAACTAGTAAGACTCCGTCTCAAGAAAGTAAAAAGAGTAGAGAGAAGCCTCCTTAAGACAGCATGTCAATCCTGTAGACTTTCTATAAAAAGAAACAGAAAAAGATCCAGGCAAAATAATTACACAAATAAAAGAAAAACATCTCTACCAGGTATGAAATGGCAGCCATCCTTATCCTTTTAAACCCATAATGATTTTAAAGGATACTGACTAGCAAATGAAAATAAATTACCTGAAAGATGTTATGCTACAAATATATTAACTGTTAGTAAAAAGGGTATAACAGTTCCCACTACTGATACATTACTGGGAATCTAGAATGTTATCTAGATGAGAAATAGATGAGAAGAGCTATTTAACACAATGCTCTTGGAAGAAAAACAAAATCAAAATTTAATTTTGCAAGGTGTAAAATCTAACTCTATTAAGTTTTTTGTTGTTGTTGTTGTTGAAACTGCATATTCAACTTTATTATATGATATAAGTAGTAGGCCTTGAAAAGCTGGGGCAACAGCCAAGTATAAAACTGTATGTCTAATTAAAAAGCTTCCAAAGCTGGGTGTGGTAATGCATGCCTTTATTTCTAATACCTGGGATGCATACTGAATTCCAAGCAAGCCACGGCTACACTGTGAGACCCTGTCTCAAAAAAAAAAAAAAAAAAAAAAAAAAAAAACTTCCACAAACTAGTAAAGTCTAATAGCGTATTTAGTAAGATTCTCATCTTCATTTGTATATTGTATTTTCCAGTTAATCCGAGTGCTAGCATTCACTTATTTAAAAGTTCACGTATTTAACGGACTATTATCAGGAAAAGAGATAAGTAAAAAGATTTTTGAAATACTACAAGCTAAAATTGCAAACATTCAAAAGAAACATTTGACAATCTAAAAACTACTTGTAATAGAAATAAAAGCAAAATGATAGAGATAAGTTTGGTTATCACAAGTAACATATTAATGAACTGCCCATATCTGTTTACAACTGCCTTGTGTATGAACAAACTAATGCAACAAAATGCTACATTTGAACAATTACTAAAATATCTACCATGACTTTCCAGTCATAGTATTTTCCAGTCATAGTATTTACCTCTTCCTTTTGCAAAACATGCCTTTCTGCAAAATGCAAAAATCAAAAGAAAACTTAGAAATGATTTATGGATTCACCCATACAAAGAAGTCACACAGTAACTCAAACCCAAAATATTCATGTTTTGAGAATGTGGCACTTAAAAGATGAACCAGACTTCTCAAGAGCCTGTCCTCCACAACTTTACCAAAATACATCACTGTAACTTCTAAGCACCAAACAAAATGCTTCTCAATTAAGAAACAAATATGGGGATCAAGAGCATTTTTTTCCTTAGTTCTCACACAGGTGTGCGTTTTTGACTATCAACTTAAAACAAGGGGCCAGTTTAAAACCTGTAGATTCATTTACAAATTAAACCTTAAAAAGAAATCACCACCAATCTAAGCAAGTTTGTTTACTTCTATGCTGTTGATGATTCAAACACTGATGCTGGGAAATTTCTTAAGGGGGGAAAAAAAAAGCCATTGGTTCCAATTCCCTCAACTCTTACCTCTCCCAAGTCCAACCAAAAAAAAAACAAACCCTCCTTCTCAGCCTGTCATTTTTTTTTTTTTTTTTTTGAGAACGATATAGCAATATAAACTACTTTCCCCCGCTTCTATTCTTGCTCTGAAGCTTTACTTGGGACCCAAACTGACCCTGGACGAGACTCTTGAGCTGTTTTGGTGAGACCAGACTCTCAAGCTGTTCCCCCCACCCCCACCCCGGAGTTTTGCAGTCAGGTGTGGGGGCAGGATGGGCCCCCCGCTAGTTTTCCCTCGCCTATCATCTGGCACCGGCTCAGGTCCAGTGTGAAGAAGAGGTGGGCCCGCGGCGGCC